GAGCCCCATGGGGCTCTCTGGCTGTTTGGGGGCAGCTACAGTTTCAGGCTTGCAGTCCATGCCTGGACTCTCGTTTGGTCCCCATGTGTTGCCTGATCTAGTCGAGAGGTGGCCTACCTGGTGGCAGGGAGGCTGGATTAAAATGATCTCTAAGGTCCCTTCCAGCCTAGGCCATTCCATGATTCTATGATGGATGGTTTGAGGCAAGCCGGGGGACCTGCAACAGGCAGTGTTACCTAGTCTCATCCCATCAGCGGCAGGGGAGTTTCCCAGGGAGATGTTCTGGTGTGTTCATGGTGTTCTGGTTCATCCCCTCTGCACTCTTTCATAGGCACAGTGCGCTGTTTCTTCGTATTTCAGATGGAGATGCTGCACATTAAAATCTGAGCCAAAAGGGTAGCCAGCTCTCCTCACCTGGTCCCCACCTGGCCTCATGCTTCTGCGCTTCACCTTTTGCAGGCTTAGGTGTTTGTCTAACAATATGAGAAGCCAGCTCGGTACAGTAGAACAGCAAAAGCCCATCCAAAAACCCCCAGTCTTCTTTTTGTCATTTAGCAAAATGATGTGTTCTAAGGCTGATGGCAGGAGAAGAGATCAGAAATCATTCAGGAGCAGGGGCTGTGAAACCAATGGCTTGGCCAAGCTGAGCTGCTTTCACTCACTGCAACTTGTGGCTTTGACTTGCAGCTTAAAGAATCAGGAAGTCTCTACATCAGGAAAAAACAATCTTCAGTGTTGTTCCTCAGACGATTTTAAAAAACTGCTTCATCGAGACCACATTCCAGGCAGAAAGAAAGGATGGGGCATCTCTGCCTTTCCCTGGCTAGTCTAATTTGGATTTTTCCTAGAGTACTTGCATATGTAGGTTAGTGGTTTGTGTTTTTTTGAAGTGTGCTTTTGGTTACTTTGGGTCATACAGACTAACGATTGTTACAGAGTTCAGTGTGTCATCTCGGAGATTTAACTTCCCCTGTCAAGGGGAGATATCTAACCCAAATACAAATGCGTTCCTTCAGTGTTGTGTGCTATGGAAACAGTTCCTCAATGCAGTAGTAAGTGCCTTGTGGCACACAGCATGTTGATGTTCCACTACAGAGCCAGAGATTTCGTATTTTTTTCAGTGTTTTTGAAGCTGATTGGGGAAGTGATCTGTCTCTGAATGCTCATATAAGGCAAAATAATCAGTGTGCAGTCTTGATTGAGGAGATGAACTAGGTGCCCTCACCCTTCATTGTTTTTTCCTTTTCCTTTCTCTTGGTTTGTGTTTTTTTTTATTTTTGTAAAGGGGAGAGAAGGAAAAAAAAAAAGAGCTTATGTTTCATTTTGACAGCTTTCTTGAATTTTGTAGAATTAGTGTGTATCGGATGTCTGAGTGCACAGATTGCTGATGGTGTGAGATACCTTGCCACATGCTACACCAGCAGTGAGAGCACGAGAAAGAATCTGCGTGACTGGAAAGTGAAAACTTGTCTTGAATGACAGAAAGGTTATTTAGTGGACTTCAAAATAAGTGAGAGATTAATAGTTCAGGTATCATTTGTAATTGCATGAAATCTCAAACAGGCTTGCAATGCTAAATGATCCATCTGTAGCCTAAGACAACGTGTGTTTACTTAAGAACACTACTCAAAAGCTGAGGCTGAGAAACAAGTAACATATGTAATAAACCCTTTGAGAGCTTAACTTGTTATTTAATATTTTAGACTTAGGTTTAATGCAACTATATGAAGGATTATTTTGCCTGTTTTCTGTACCTGGAAGATGCTAAGAGCCTGTCACGACATCTCTTCTGAAAGACAGTGCTGTCAGCATCAGTGTGCTGTTGAGCGCAGTGTAACAAAGTTGGATGTAGAAATCAAAATGATAAAAGTTTTTCACATTATCCTCAAATATACAAAGAAGGCTGAGGCCAGAAATTAGCTTAAGTGCTTGCTCTTCTGACCTTATTTATGTAAAAATAAACAAACCCTATCTTAGGAGACTATAGTCTTCCAAACAAAAAATGGAAATCTTATCATGTGGGATATCATATTATGGTTGTGTTTGAGCTTAAGACCTGCTGACCCAGTATATTTAATGGTGTAGTGACCACTACACAGACAAACAAATGTGTAGAAGGAAAATTCTTTCTACCCCTTGGGACAGGCAGGCAGTGAAGCTGCTGCCCAGCAAGGCCACATGAGCTCCATCCTTGGAGGTTGCAGGACCTGCCTGGCAAAGGCCCTGAGCTGAGGCCAGTATGATACCAGATCTGGCCCTGCTTGGGGCAGGGGCTGGGACAGGAGAAACCTCCCAAGCGCCCTTCACGCCTGCGTGACTGCAGGGCTGTGGCTGAAAGCATGAGGCTTTCCTGCTTTTAAAAGCATTTGGTAACAGCTGCTGGAGAGCCTCACAGTCTTTGTTCACCCTCAGGGATTTATAGCGTGATCGAATTTGGGTGGATGTGCCTGTTAGCAGAAGGCATGCCTCTAATGGAGGTTTCTCTCCTGTGTTGTGAAATCAGTTTAAAGATCAACAAAACTTGAGGCTTGCAAGTGGAACAGTGCATTGTGTCTTTAAGTACGAGAAGCCTTTGCTCTTTTTTTTCTTCTTTCTTTTCTTTTACACCTCTTTGCAGGAAAGTTTCAGTGAAGTGACCTCAGTGTTTTCAGACAAGTTAGCAGAGCTAGATGGTCAGGAAAAATGTGTTCTGAGTTGTTAACACAGTAAAATGTAGAGATGCAGACAACTGAAGTAGATTAAGTTTTGTAATAACAAGTGGACCTTAATTTATAGCTTCGTGAGAAAGCTGGATGGGGTTCATGGTTTTGTGCTGGACTTGGTACTTTCAGTGCTATATATGGAATGAATAAAAGCTTTTTTAAATTTTTTTTCAGTGCTTTGTAGATAGCAGGGACTTAAATGTACTGCTACTAGTGTACCTACAAACAGAATGAGGAGGAGAAAGGGTTTTACCTGTAGAGCAGTGAAAATGTAATATATGATGATGGAATTTGGAGACCCAAAGTTAGTTACTCTGTATGCTTGATTGTTTTAACAGTTATTTCTATTCCTCTTCTTACTTTAGAGTCTTCTTCCCACTTACCAGCACCAAAGGATGTGAAGGTTTATTCCTATAACTTCCATAGTTCCCTGAGATGGTCTCCTGTTGAAGTGGATAGAGGCTTGGTGTTATATACAGTCCATTTTAAAACGTAAGTAAATAGATCTAAACCCAACCAAATTAATTTTGTTCTAACCCAGTAATACAATCGTTTATTGGTTTTCTGTTTTAATATTAAAAATTAATAAGCAAATGAAAGAACATTTTGTCTATTACAGATGCTTTTATGTATATCTGAAAGCAGCTTCTGAAGACTGACAGCCTCAGTCTGGAATGTTTCCACTAAACTGAGCAAAGACAGAAAAGCACCCAGAAATGTCGCATAGTTTCCTGCATACTTTTAGCCTTACTGAATTCTTCTTTGGTGATTTTACTTTTTCCCCTGATACTGAAGAGATGCAGGTGCTGAAAAGGCCACGGCATTAAACCTGCATGAAAGCAGTAGTTTGGTCACCTGTCTTGTTGTTACAAAAACCATCTAGGCGGGAGAGATTGTGTTTCAGATAGTTGTGCCGCTCTGCTGATGCTTTGCTTGTCCTTTGTTTTGCGTTGCAGAGGCGCCTTTGACCGGTGGGATGAGATGAACTGCACCCGGATTGCCCAGACGGAATGCTCCTTCCCCTGGTCTCCAAAGGAGCGGCACTGGACTTTTTTTTTGCGCGTGAGGGCCGAGCTGGGGCAAGTGACTTCTGAGTGGGTGGAAACAGATCCCTTTGTGGCAGAGCAAAGCAGTAAGTGCTGCTTATGATTCGAGTGTCTCTCATTCTCAAAGGAGATTTCTGTGAGAAGAAAAAAGTTTTCTGTCTGTTCTAGGCTTTTTTTTTTTTTACTTTGGTATGTACAAAAGCCGTGTCAGAGAGTTGTACGTGTTCAGTTAGCAAAGACTACAAGGCCCCAGTGTGTCACTAGGAATTTGATACTACTTAGTTCCTCTGTGGTGGGTTTAGCAGTGTGCTCTTTCATCAGGTATCGAAAGAGAAACAGAGGAGTTTCCTTGAGAGGTTAAACCTTACAAGAACCACAGTGTGTATCATGTTTTCCATTTTCTTATTTCCTCACCAAGCACTGCCACATGCACGCATACAGCCTCATCGTTAGTGGTCTTCAGTACAAACTACCTGTTTCTGTTGAACACATCCCTTTTCTAATAAATATAAACTGTCCTGACAACACTGTAGAAAAGTCAAGGCACACTTTAAATCTCATTAAGTGTGTGCCCCAGCCTGTTGTTGTTCTTTATTAGGTCTCCTCTTTGCCTTGCTGTGATTTGAAGAAAGTAAATGTTGAGCTTAAAAATACCTGAAATTACAATGAAGCAGAGGAACGGATTTATTGACTGTTTAGTTCAAGCTCTCCAATAGCTTGTGAGGAGCAGAGGTGGTCCCTGCAGCAGAGTGTGATACTTGCTCTGGTGATGCCCATTCTACGTCTTGGATTTTCTCTAGTAGTAAAGAGTGTGAGGATGAGGAATTGCCTGAATGCTCAATTGAAGACTACAACTGACGTATCCATCGTAGCTTTTGATGTAGGATTGTTTGAGAGTGGGATCCTTTGGGGTTTAGGAAAGCACCGGGTTAAGGGGAATGTTAAGAGGAAGGAGGGGCTTAGTGTGGGAGAGAAGCCTGTTCCTTAGGGGGGCAAGGGAAACATTATGTGATCATTTTTGTGTGACCACCCTTGAGATCCAGTTCCTGGGCATCAAGACCGTGGGCTACTCCTTCAGGCTGTTCTCTTCCGTTAATGTTTTGGTCAGTGCTGCCTGAGAGGGGAGCTTTGGGAAGTTGCGAGGACACACAACAAAGTGTTTGCAGTTGTACAGCAACAGAGAGTAGAAAGAAAGCAAAATTTCTCTACCAGTATAAAGATTATGGGGGTCAGTTTTCTCTAAAAGTAATGGTGGACAGAGCAGGTTCTGCTGGATTTTTTTGAGGTACAATAAGCAATGATTGCATGCAAGTATTGATTTTTACTGTTTATGTCTCTTTAGTATGCAGGCAGCTGTTAATTAATATTTGCTTGAGTGTTTTTTATGAGAATGCTTTACAAACACTTCTAAGCTTAAGTGGTGAAAAGATACAAAAGGTAAATTGCTGATGACCATAGATGACCTATGAGCACAAAAGTCTCTTTTGTTAGGACTGATAGTACTTTATATAATATTTTTCATGATTTATAACTGAGTAGTTCACAATAGGAAGCCGTCATCTTTACCCTGTAGGACAGATAGAGACATCAAAGCAAGGAAGAGGAAGCTAGTTACTCTTTTTACAATCTATTGACTCAAAGAGTGTGTTTCTTAGAGAACATGGCATATGTGGCTGACTATTTGAAGAAGGAAGAAAAAGAACAAAATTGTATCGCTGCACATTGCAGATAGATTCACATGTATTCTAGTGAATTTGTGGATTTTCCGGGGAAAGTTAACAGGAAACCTCTTTTTTAATTAAGTATTTTCACTTATGCTTTCAAGTTTATTCCTTAACTTTTTAATAAAGTAGCTATCTTAAATGCATTGGGCAGAAGAGAAAATGTTGTATCCCTTTCTTGAGAAAAAGCTGTCAATATTTAACGGGCTTGCTGAGTGTACCTAAGCAAAGCTGAAGACAGTATGATGAGCTGTTGTTCTGCATCCTGGAGGTTCACTGCTCTTTCTGTGTTTATTTACAGCTACTATAGGACCGCCTACAGTGAACAGCGTGACTGAAAGGCCTCACTCACTTCTCATTAGTGTCTCGCCCCCATTTAGATCTGAAGCAGGTGACTTGCTTCAGTATCATGTGTCCTACTGGGAGAACACAACAAGTACTACTAAAAAAGTAAGAATTCTTTCTCATTTATTTTGTTAAGAATGCCTTTTGGACTAAGAGAGATGAGTCAGTGTCTCTTGGGGAAAATAGTGGAAATGGAGAAAGACAGCTAATGTAACTTTTTCTCTAGCAGTAAAGGTCACCATGTAGCATCTTGCAAAAAGTCAGTTCGGTCTTGCTACCAGTATTGCATGTTTTGCAAAACTTTCAAAATCTTTTTTCCTCCATACAAAATGAAGGTTAAATCATTGCAGATCAAAGGAGAGAATCCACAAAGCGTCAAAGGGAGGGCTTTAAAATTACATTTAGATTCCAAAGTTTGCTTAGGCAGTTTGGAAGATTCTGAAGTATCCTTCCTCCTTTCCTGTGCTGGGCTTGTTTGTGCTGCTTTGCTCGTTTGGGCTGATTTGGCCTAGTGTTGCCTGTTCCTAGGGCAGAGAAAGGCAGAGTTATTGGAAATGTGCTGGATGCAGAATGGGGTGAGCTGTACCTGGTTGTAAAGAAGCTTAGAGGTGTCGGTCTCATTGTGCGTTTATGCTGCTGCCTGGGGCCCAGTAATCCTGTTCTTGACAAGCCAGTGTTGCAGGGGAGGGGTTAAATTACATTAAAAATAAAAACAGAGGAAGAAGATTGAAAAGAGCATCATTCTAAAGTCAAATGTTTAAAAATCAAGAAGAAAGAAATTAATTCATTTTAAAAAAAAAACATTTTGTTTCAAAGACCTTGCTACATCTGAAACATCTCCACTTCCTTCCTGTCTTGCATCAATGCTTATTTTTCTCACGCGCATAAAATAACTTCACGTTTGAGATTCAGACAAGAAGTCACTCTTGTACGCTTTTGTAGGCCCTTATCCTGGCCCCTTACAGGTTAAAAATTCCCAGAAGACTGGAGGGTTTTGGCCTGCCCATAAGCTGTTTCCTTTTTAGGCAGAAGGAGCTGAGGCTGGAGGCTCTTCACCAAACTAGGCTTCCCTCAGCCTCCTCCGATGGGGAAGCTCTTAGAGAGACTGCATCCAAGCGGCGTGTAGTGGATAAAATGAGACCTCGCATCGGTTCTCATGCCTCTGCCTTTACAGATGGCTTTAAACAGTCTGACTTAATTTCATCTAAAAATAATGAAATTTCAAATGCGTTCAAGTAGGAAGGTTGAAATTTCACTGCTGCTCTTATTTGAAAAAGTTAAATTATGAAAAATAAAACCTGTGATTTTTGAATGAGAAAGTTAAATATGGGGAGGGGAGTTGTGTTGAAGATAGATCTGTTTTTTATGGTAACACCTATTTTGATTTTTATTTTTTTTTGTCTTTGGAACAGGAAACAGAGACGAGCAATACACTGTTTGAAATCAGAAATCTAAAGGAATTGACACTTTATTGTTTTAGTATTCAAACAGAATTGAGGACACATTCGGAGATCCAGTTACTTGGAGAGCAAAGTGTCCCAGAGTGTCGCAGAACTACCATCAGTGGTATAAGTCTGATTTTGTTATTTTTTTTGTATATAATGGGATGAGGGTAGAACAGGAGCCCTAGGTTGTGTAACGGGTCACTTATGTACCCATATTTGTCAGGAGCAGTAAGAGAGCACCACTGTTAGTAATTCACAATTACCATTAACGGCAGACTAAAAGGAATTTCTTCAGTCCATAACTGACGGTCTGCGTTGTGCTCTTCCCCTCATCCTTCTCCTTCATAACTACTGCTGTAGGTAAGATGCGCTATAAATATGCGAAGAGAGAAAATACAAGTGCTTGGACTTTAGAGGAAGCCATTGATGAGGGAGATGGTGTTACTCGTGCAAATCCTCTCCCTCGGCCACTGCGGCCTGCAGGACAGGGAGGTCCCTCTCCTCTGCCCTGCATCCTTCTCTGGTGTCGTGACTTGGAGTCACAGAACAAGCTATGTCTCAATGCAGGTGTTTGGGGTGCATCTACAGCAGGATTGTGATCTTAGCCTTGGAAATCATATTTTGATTAACAAGTGTAGTAAATTTCAGCTTGCTGTATATTGTTTTCATTTGATGATGTAAATATGAACCTACCAGATGTATATGGGTTGTGTTTGTGGTTTGTTTTATTTTGTTTTGCTATTTTTCAGAGGGAACCATGGCTGGATATATTATCCTAATATTTATGGTGGTGTTAGTTTTTCTAAATCTGGTAACAGTTGGTTTGCTGCTTCTGTGGAGACACCACAAAAGAATTAAATATTGGTCTCAGCCACCTTTAAAAATCCCGTCGCACTTTGAAGAGGTATGTGTAGACATTTTATATTTTTCCCCCCTGTAAAAGACAGAGATCATCTTGGAGCAAATATGAAGGAAGCTAGTTGTTGCACAACAGAAATAGATAGAAACACTTGTTAACTCAGTGTAAACTGTTATTTTCTCATGCATGATCTCCCACTTTATTCCTCTTTTATGCAATTATTTTTCTTCTGCACTAAGGTACAAATGCTGCTATAATCCTGTTACGAAACCAGAATAAGATTTTCTGTGCCTTGACTACCCTTTGTCCACCCCTTCCTTTGCTTGTTGAAGTCATCAGGCCTGAAACAGTTGCTCACCTGAAGCAGAAACGCTTGTGTGTGCTGCAGAACAGGGACTTGGGGCCTGGGTCTCTGACTGGACGTCAGATATGGAAAAGTGAATGCTGATCATTCTAAGAGCCCTGCCTTGAAGACTAAGGACAACCCAGGGGACTATTCTTGGGCTTTTTCTTTTTTATCCCCTGTAGTTCTAGCGATACTTGGATGAGAAAGTCATCCTGGGACTTTTTCTCTCCTTGTAGCTCACGCATTTATGTACCAAACTGTACTGTTTCAGCCCTGTTCATCTTCCTCTTTTTAGTATTTAAACAGGAAGTAGGCTTCTAAGTGAAGTTCCTGATTTTAAAGTTCTTGCTCAGCATCCATTCCGTATTTGTAACAGCTTCTGTCCATTTGAGGTGTACGTGTCCTTGTGTGTATCTGCGTGTCAGAGTAGTTCATTGTACTACGGCAGTTCTGTCGCTGTGGGGCTGTTGTTCCAGATTTATACAGAAGTATGGGTGGATGAACCCAGACTTTCTGAAGAGCCCTGAGTAAATGCGGATGTATTTGATGTTCCCATGTGAAACATTTGGTTTTAATACACCTGCAAAAATAATCCTGTTGCCCCTTAGTCTTGCTGTCATCTGCTGCCAGGGCAGGGGACCCAGCAGCAGGGAGCCCGCGGTGCCACAGAGGAAGTGGTGCCTTAATTGAAGCTCAGGTTAGTTTTGTCCCATGACAAGACATGACTTGAGCTGCAGTCCTGCCTCAGCTAGATTATGACACCTCCTACAGTACGTAACTCCTACAAGCTTGTAACAATATGAAGGTGTCTGTGTTCCGGACATTTATTCTTTTCATTTATTTATTTTTGAATCAGGGAAAAGGTGTTCAATGGCAGATTTGTTGGGGTTTTTTTTGGTTCAGTACATGAAGTGGTAAATGGCTCCAATTTCACGTGAAACACAAGATCACCGTAGCAGTAAGAAGAGTATGTGGGGATGGCAGAAGGAACAGAAAGCATTTTCTCTGGCCTACTTTTTTCTTTTTTTTTTTTCCTTTCTTTGATTATGCATTCATTGTGAAGCTGCTGACTTAATTTTGGAGGGAAGGGGAGCAGAGAAGAAGTCAAAGCAAGAGAAACCACAGGAGAATAATGCCGCTAGAGTTTTCTGGTGCCAGTAAAAGATACACATCTGACTTGCCTGACCCTGAGCAAACCTGAATCTTAGATCTTGTGTGCTCCACCAGTGCTTCAGAGACGCTGTCTGCTGCTCCGTTCTACAGCTGCAGGGTACATCCCATCCCCAGGAACACACATTTGCTTGAATTGACATGAAAAGAATGTTAACCAAAATTTATTAAAAAAAAAAAAAAGACATAGGAAACGCAGGCTGCTTTAACTCACTTAAATAGATGTGTGATTGATTTTCCCTTCCCTCCCCCACCAGAAATAAGGTATTTTTAACTTTTACCTTGTTCAATGTAGTTTCGAGGAAATCCAGAACAGAATATTCATTTAGCAGCTCTTGTGAATTCTGGTCTGAAGCAACTTGCCTATGGGTGGTGACACCTGCTCTGTCTCTGTAACTTCTAATACCGCCTGTTCTGTGGATAGATATCTAAATTGTTCTTTGTGGCTTCTTCCAGTATTTGAAGGACCCTAGCATACCTGACTTAGAAGTGTTGGACACTTACACCGAGGACGATCCCCAAGATTCCGTATCTGTTGTGTTTTGTGGAGAAGGAAGTCAAGCCTGTGCCAGTGGTCCAGCTGGCCAAGCTCATTCACTCAGCACCCGCAGGGACAGCAAAGTAACATAACTGGTGCTCCGGGGAGAGGTGCCTGTGCCGCGTCTTCACAGAGGCTGCTGCGTGTGAGCGGGGCTGCTGGCAGGACGGACGACGGGATCTGGACAAAAGGCAGCCACAGACAAATCCCCAGGGAGGTTCTGCTTCCTGCAAGTAGTGCAGACCCGAACCCTTGTTTATATGGCTTCTCCTGTGCTACACCAGCAGCTGTGTGCTGCCAGAGAGACTCGAAGGAAACGAACACTAAATTGCCTCAAGATGGACAGATAGTTATATTAACATAATTGATAAATAATGGCACTTTATGGTAAGATGTAGTACAACCTGCAATTTTCCAGGGAGTGAATAACTGCACCACGAGTTATTTTTATTGTGGGTTTTGTTGCCTTATTGGTGAAGTCAGGGTGAGCACTCAACATGTATTCTATCTGCCCCACTATGCTTCTCTGAATCATGTTAAGTATGTGCATTTTTCTGTGGCAGCTTCTTCCCTCTGGATAAGAATGGCAATCTGAAAAGAAATTTTACTTTATCCTCCTCAGCATAAACAAAAGAACTGCCTCCTAACACATGTACAAGAAGCATTAATCTGTTTCTGCAGTGAGACAGTTGTTCTTCACAGCAAACCAAACTTCCAAATAATTTTTCTCAGCATTTATATAACATGTATCAGTAATTATCAGACACTAAAATCTCTGTTAACTGTAAAACAAGTCCTGCAGCTGAAGAGTTGACTGAGGTTGTGTTTTGAGTTCCTTAAAGCAGAAGACTGCAACTTAAGCCTCATGGCACAAGCCTCTGGGGGCTGGAAGGTGTCTAATAAATCACAAAAACCAAACAAACCACTTCTGTACTAAAAAGACTGGTTTTATTTGTTTGACTTTTTTCTTGGGTTTAACATATTTTTTTTAAAAAAAGTATGCAAATTATGTTTGAATTACTTAGGTTTGTTAATGAACCTGGTCGTTGTGAAGAGGTGTGGGTTATCCAAGGTAATACTGTTCCACTCCTTCCAGGACTACAGGAGAGTAGCATGAAACACCAACTTCTTTTCCAAAAGTTCCATAAGGTTGTTTCCTCATAGACCTAATCTGACCACTTATGATTAGGCAACACACTAAGGTAGTAAAGTTATCTATTAGACTTGATCATACTTCAGCTCTTGTAAGAATTTTCAACGTAGCCACAAGGTGCATAATACCTGCTTTTTCAGTTCATCAGTACTGTTTTTACATCCTGTGCTGTAAACAAAGGAAGAACCACAGGCTCACAAAAGGAACAATCTAAACACACACTAGAGGACATAAATAAATGAGGCAGCATTTAAAACATCTCTTGTGTATACTTAGCAATGCAGCATGCAACTTCCTGAATTATGCCTGCACTGGGCTTCTGTGAGAGAGCTGTTACTACATGTTTTCAGTCACACAACTGAAGTTACAAACCTTTTGCTAGGAGTAACTAACTCAAGGGCCAATGGTAGGAGGCCAAGGCGTCACCTAAAATTAGCCACCCCTACCCACTGGGGCCTGCACTGGAACTACCAGTGATCTCAAAGTGGACCTCGGGATATTCTGAATGAAGCCTGTGTGGTTCTTAACGGTACACCGGGGTGTCGGTTTTAGGCTAGTGGAAAAGACACATGCTCAGAGCTCTCTCTTCTCGTAGCAGCTGTACAGAGCACAACCTTTCCAGTTCCCTAAAAGCAGAAAGCATGGTCAAGAACTATTTGCAAGAAAGCAAATTTCCCATAGAAAATGTGTGTAACCTCAGACAGAAGCCCTTGCTCTGGTCTTAAGAAAACTAATTTTTAACCAGGACTTTGCATTAAAGCACACTGTAAGAGTTCTTCCAGAGTCAAACGCTTGTGCTGTTCAGGTGTCAGATGAAAGATACTGTAGTATCTTCCACCTGACACGTTAGTTCTTGCACATGACCTGGTTAGTTACAGGCTCCACTTGTTTCTCAGTCAAAAAGCCAAGAAACCTTCCCAAGTTCCTAACCAAGAAGCCAACAGACATGAAAACAAAAACCTTGGCTTTCTGTACTAGCTGGCGTGAGACTTGCTTAAAGGTCGCAACTCCTTAAACTGTTAAGTATTAATGGACAATTACGTCGTGAAGTAAGTTCACTATTTTGAGAACATAAGATAAAGTTTATTGCAGTTTTCTGAAATTACAACCAAACTGACAGCTTATGTACAAAGCAATGATTAACAAACACCAGCGAATGTATCGTAACTCACGGCAGAGTGAGATCAGGATGAAGTTAGTCCAGCCAGTAGCACAATTTCAGCTGCAGTATTTGCTTCATATTCTGTCCACTGGAGAGATTCCCACAAGGGAGCAATTAGATGACTAACAGCATACAGGAACTGTGCACAGAAGTTACATTCTTCAGTTTAATACCATTTGGTCAGCAATCTCCATACATGGGAAGTTATAAAAGCTTTTAGACTCATGGTAGATTCAAATGCTTTAAAAAAATACATAGAACTCATAAGATAACAAAGTCACCAACAGCAAGATGAGTATACGAAACCAGTCCAAAGCTATAACACATCACAGTTCTCCCTTTCTGTATACTCCAGCTAGAAGAAACTGGATTTCAGTAATCGAAGCATTCCCATAAAGTGCCCCTGAAATTTAGGAGATATAAATACGTTTTGCCTGGGCCAAATGGGCAGTCCTGAAACTGGCAATTATTTCAAGGTAAGACTGTGAGCAATAAATGCATCTACTATATCCCCACTTGAAATGACCGCCTTTTGGACAGAAAAGGTAATAGGTAGCAGGATAACTGCTCATTTATCAGCAAAAGGCTTCCTCTGAAGAAAATTATGCTAGCATAATTTTAAAGATGTTAGTCTGACTCTCACTTATTTATATTTCTTAATTACGACTGGCATCAGGTTTTTTCTTTTTTTTTATTTATTTTTATTCTAGTATCAGTAAATGCATTCAATACTAATTTGTATCTATCAACACCGAACAGCATGAAATTAATTCTGAGGACTGGTGCTACCGAATGTCATTCGTGCTATAGCAATCAGAACTCAAGAACTGTTTGATTTGCCATGCAGAACCTGCTTACTATAGGGCTTCGTTTAAAAATTCATAACCTTTTACAAAAAAATAGCTACTTTATTTTTCTGAACAGTTATATAAAATTCTTAAAATTGGCTCTTATCTCAGCATACAATAGATTTTACCCTCGTTAAATACAGGCTTAGCTGGGTCGCTTCCATACGCTGACTACTCCTTCAGGTTACAGAGGCAGCCCTCGTGAAATCAGCTGTCTCCACTCTGCACAAAAGTAATCGCCCCTTTCTGGGGGGTGCAGGCTTTGTCCTGCTTGTTCACTAAGTTTTCCACTGAAGTCTCTGACATGTGATGTGAAGGTTTGGAAGATCATGTCTTAGGAGCTGACGGGAACCCACGTACTCGAAGAAGTAAGCCTGAAGATTTCAGAAAGAAAGCCTGACATTCCCTTTTTAAGATATATACAGTCATATATGTACATATTCACAAATCTGTCCTGTGAAAAGAGGAAGCTTATTACAGAAACTGTAATTTGCCTCAGTTCGTACAATTTCGAAAGCAAACTAAGAACAAATAAATGTAAATATATCTACATACACAGTACGACATAGCAACTATGGAATACATAATGCTCTGTGTGATCTCTCATCCCCATAACTCTTCTGTTCTTCCAAATTTGTAGATCAGAGTACTGAAGGGGGGAAAAAAAAGAGAAAAAACAGGACCATATATAAGGTGGAAAAGGTAATTTTAATTTTAATAGTATTCTTGTAATCTTAGAATCATAGAACTATAGTATGGCCTAGGTTGGAAGGACCTTTAGAGATCCTTTAATCCAACCTCCCTGTCATGGATCTTAATACTATCTTAATACTATCTACACTGAAAATCAACATCCCTCCAGTAACCTGAACCTTTATTCAAGTCAGTATCTATTTTTTGTACTTATATTTCATTTACTGTGCATTGCTAAGACTATGAGATCAAGCTGAAGCACCTGCTCAAATAAAAATATAGCCAGTCTCAGAGTAAAAGTAGCTGCCCTATTGAAGGGAAAAATTCTGATATTTAAGAGATTCTAGGACCAATCCACAGAGTTAGAGCAGAGAGTCTCATTCTGGCATCTGGCAACCAGTTGAAAGTAATGCATCACACTAGGATAGAATCTAAGCAATTAAATTTTTATAAGTAAATCAGGAAGAATATCAATCCTTTGGTTTATAGGTGAGATCCAAAGTACAATTTGATTCCCAAAATTTCTTTTATAAAGGTTGGATGCAATTACCCAATGTCATGAATGAAAAAAAAATGTCGAGTGAACAAAATCAAGCATGATTCCCTTACACTTTAGGTTGTTTTTTTTCTTACAGCTAACAAACAGGGCACAGTCATCCTAAATCATAAGAGAATGAAGAGGGAGGATAATGAGTAATACTGACACTGGCAACAACAGTAACAAGCAATGAGAAGCAAGACAAGACACCTGGGCAATTCACTAGAGAACTAGTAATACAGCATGTTAAACTACATAAAATAAACTGGTGGATTAACAACCAGGGCTGAAGCACAAGTCCTGAAGGAGACACACGGTTCAGGAACTCAGACATTACAGAACAACACTGATGGACAAGGACACTGAGAAGGGCATCGCTGATTGACCCAGGTCTTGTCCAAGAGGTCTATGGCAAAGGAGAGACTCATCAAGTGTTACTGCCTGAAGTGTATGGTGGGATAAAAAGCAAAAGACTTCTTATTTTTTTAAAAAAAATAAAAAATACGAAGGTTGTAACTTGTCTCATAGTTAATACCTAGAAAATAAATTTTAGATCACAAAATAAAATAAACCTAAAATGTATCTACATACAGTGTACGATAGAAACTAAGGAAAGACACTTTCAGAAACAAAAAGCAGCCTGAGAAATCATCAAACTACTGAAATAAGACTAAAGATTTCAGGCATGCTGACACCAT